GCACATTAAGAATGTGAGCTGTTCTACTCTTAAATCAATTAATACGAATTAAGTTGTTAGTTTGTGATTTTAGATTTTTACTATTTTTAAAATAATTTTATATTAAAAAATGGTTTATAACTTGCAATGCTGACTAAAAAAAGATAAGTTAATATTAAAGCAAGGCAAGTTGGCATCTCTCGTAGGCGTTGTAAGAGGCAGCAATCGTAAATTCGGAAAAGATCTATCAGTCTCCGATAGATGGCGGTAGAGACGGGAAGCAAAAAAGGTGTGTGACGTCTCGTACTGCGACTTCCAATTCACCTACCATGATGATGAACCATGACCATTATGGCAAATCCTCCCTACTACGGATGAAACCAACCAGCGGACTGATAAGGAGCAGAATGACAAGTTAAAAGAACATACAAAATAAAGAAGCCTTCAAAATAGAATCACTGCACGCGATGACGCTAATAAAAGACGGTCGAGACTCTCGTAGCAAACTGATGGAAAGAAATCTATTAATCATCATCATCATTAAGTTTCCCCCAAAGAAAACCGCAAAGCACGGTCCCGAGCAGCCTGCATCCATCGATTTCTTAATTCTTACCAGGTCGTCACTTCATCTAGTGGCGGGCCGCCCTACACTTCGCTTGCCGTACGAAGCTGCCACTGGGGAATCTTTCTTCTCACCGATTTTCTGTTCTTCGAGCTATGTAAACCAAATTTCAGAGACTATTAATCGGATCTGTCGTGCAGTTGCGGCGTATGATTATCCACTAACTCATAGTAAACCGTGTGTGTCGTATGAGGCGAGAAGGGGAAATGTAACAGGAGATGGGTAGACTTTCCTAATAAAAACTAATAATAGTAGTACTCAGCGTGGCAACTATGCCAAATATCCCTATGAGTTAATCTATGGGGAGGCGCTATTGTCAACAGTGATGGACAGGCTGTAATGAGTTAATGAATGAAATATTGAGTAATGGGATCACAGCATTATTGGTGTGTATATATACGCTCTATGCTCGCCAAACACAACATCGTTAATATGCACATATCTTCCAAATAATTCAAATTGGCGCATTCTTGGAGAGGCCTTAGGGCAGTTACAGAACATTTGTTATTTCCATATGTATCACAATACAATAGAAAACAGAATAACTATACCATATAAAATACCTAGTTAAAGGTTTTCTTAAACCAAATCATGGTGATAATGGTAATTTCTTCATACCTTGTACTGTATGAAGACGTTTCATACTGAACCTTTCATACTTGGACCTGTATTCTGCTTTCATACAGGCATAACAAGTATGCATCTTTCAATCGATAGAAATTTCAACGGCATCTAGTTTGTGGTAGGATTTCTTTTCTCCGTTTGGGTCTACCATCTGGCCTAATTCTGCCGTCAAATAACAGTGTCGCTGTGTTTCTCTCAGAAAAAAATTGAACCAAACGTTGCTACGGCAAACGTGCAAACTCGAAAATCTTTAAGATGAAATTTCCCAAACGTCTTATCTTATGTATATTACTACTGCACTTTAAGACTATTTTCGTGGGAGCTATGTAATATGCGATAGATTCATAATTAAACACGGTTGGTAATCTGTTAATAATTCAATTGAATAATGTTTTATAAATTTATTTAAAAAAAAATACATTCTTTAATTAGATAACAGTATTTTTACTCTAAATAATTAATTTTAATGAAATTTAGTAACGTGGTTCTTTCCGTGATTTGACGTTAAAACACTAGTTTACTCCACGCGCGAATAAAGGGGTTGCCTCGTCAACTTCTTAATTCCTGTTAGTCTTAAGTTTTAATTCGCACTAGGTACTTAAAGCTTGAGAGCTCCTTGACATCGACGTGCATCCTTTGTTAAAGACCGAACTCTTTTCAAGTATGCTTAGATCGACTAAGCCTTTGCAGCGCAGGGTAAGCTCCGCTCCCGCTCCCGCTCGCGTCTCCGCTCACGCTCCTGCTTAGTACAACTAATTGATATTTTATGTTACACTAATGAACGTTGCGCTCGATCTCACTACAGTTACAAAGTAAGCGGTTATTCGAAGATTAGCACTAAGGACCAGAGAATCCTTGCCAATCCTTATTTTATATTTTATGAAAACAACTTTAGATTCAATTCTTATTTAAAAAATTGTTTCAATAAAGTAACTTATTTATTAAAATAAATAACTAGTTATTTAACGTGCTCAGTAAAATAAACGAAATAAACTTATAATTTGGGACGTCTACCAGGGTAGTACGTGTACAGGGTAATTTTGCAATAACCGGCCAAATTTGCAGAGAAGGTTAACAGTATACCATTATTTATATATTTGAACTTAGGTTTAAAATTTGGCTACTCTTTGAAAAATAACCTGCTTTCAAAATCGTATTGAAAACCGTAAGAACTCGTAAATTTTAAAGTTTTTTTTTTTGAAATAAATGACAGTCTAAAACACATTCTGATAGAATTTACATATGTTACCTTATCTTCATCTAACGGTTCCAAGAAAACACCGTTTTATAATACATATAGAGTATGTATTTGTAATATAAATTAATAAAGTCCACCGTTATGGGCGCAGGATTTAATTGACCAAAGGACCGTCGGCCGTGCGGCTCGCGTCCAAATCTCATCTAATCCGAGCTTATACTACAGACTATAGGTGTTAACCCTGAAACTACCCCCAAAACACCCTAAAAACCTCACCCGCCGAAGAACTAGACAACGAAAACTATCGAAACTTACTTTACACGATTATATTCGTTCGGAAATTCCGGTTATTTTGAAAGCCGGACTAACAGTAGAGCCGCCTGGAGTACCGCGGCGGTATTATTAAACGATTATTGCGCCGCAAAATTTATAATTTTGAATACGGCTCACCGTATTCTGTTGAACCGGGTACCGGGATAGTATTATGTAAATTCAATAACAGTGGGTGGGAGTGGAAGCCTTATTGTATTGTTTACGATTGATAGCGTACAGCAATAATTGTGGCACATTACAATATCTCTTAAAATATGTATAATTGTAAAATTATATTCAATATATTATACAAATATACAGATTTTTTTAAATTTAACACTTATAGGCTAACTTAATTTTATATTTAAATTTCGACCGTATTAAGCATCCTTCGGCCCTTCCATCTCTTAAACGAGAGTCGTAGAGCATCTGATAGTTTTCTTAATGTACCGTCATCGACATTTTTCGACCTCTTTCAACGAAATTTGTTTGACATCTTGCATAAACAAGAACATCATATTTAAACTCCAAACTATATTTTATCCGCGACTTAGATCGCGTAGGAGTTAAACAAATAAATAAATCGTATAATTTCATTCCATTTTCTTCATATAAACACACCTGGTTTATTCTTGCCCTGCGCTCAGACCAACAAACAAGCCCTAGTCGTTAAATACTCGCAGTTCGTCGGTCGCAGGTGGCTGACTGTTCCTGCGACTTGCGAAAACGATTGACGTTTTACAGGTAGGAATGATTAAGATGACAACAGTTTTTAAATATATAATCTTTTAATCTGACAAGATTTACAGACAATGCCTGATTTATTATATTGTATAGAGTGTACGCTTAAACACCCAAGCACTCACTAGTTCTTTTCCTCCTGCGTCTGATACAAAGAGTTGTCTGGAATGAAGAGTTAACAGGCTATATAAAATTGCGTCTTCATCTTTCATATTTTTTATTGCTTTAATAAAATTTCAAGTAACGTTGCTTTTAATCGTCGGAGCAAAAAAGACAAGCGCACCGAAGCATCAAGAACTATTTAATATCAGCCTAAGGAAGAGTCTACAAAGAAGATCGGTAAAAGCATCGACCGGTACAAAGCGGCCTTTGGCAGCCGCTGCCAGACGTGAAACAAGGATTAATTATTATTTTAAACATTTCACTCGGTTTTTTGCCACTTCCGCGAGCAAGTCAAAAGCATTGCTTCCTCGCTTGAAAAGTTGCTAAATAATTAAGGAGCTTTCTTAACGACAGCGTTTCGACGTCTACGTTGTGTAGTACTTTTAAAGAAGCAAACCAGAAAGTGTTTCCATAATGATTTATTTTTTCAATAAAATTTCTTTAGGCGCAACCCAGATTTTAATTTGACTGAAGTGATTTCTGTAAAGTCTATAATGATACACATACGTTTTCTATAAACTATACCGAACTGAAACTACAATTTACAAACATTATGACATTCAATTTATATTTATTTCAAATCTATTTTATATAATCTATGCTGGAGGCCTATAATGGATATAGGTTGTAACGCAATGGATAAGGAATTTCAAAAACTCGTAGATAGACTAAGTCTATGCTTCAACCGCGCATTTTTTTTTGCAATTAAGAAAAATAAATGAAACAGATTAAAAAAAGAAACACAACAGTTACAATAAGCAATTCTTATTTCAAAATCATATTAGTTGATTTAATTTGTTATTTACATAATCATCTTTTTTTGGTAGTACTACATACTATATGGAGATAACCTTTAATACATTATAGATCCGTATGTGGAAGATTTATGGAACAGTATCACCTGTCGCATAGCAAAAATGAGTCATGCAAATCATCAAATGCAACGCAAATCATACAAATCGTGGTTGTTCGACAAGAACTATGTTTTCGTAAACTTTGAACTCTTTTATTTAAATAAAAACAACATTTAACTTTATCTGCCTAAAGTTATATAACATAAAATATAAAGTTTCATGTATGATCTTTTAAAACTGTATAGTAAATAATTTGTTGAGATTAACACGTTATTAAAATTTAAGCCATACTATGTAATAAAAATTACGGTTACGATGGCAGAAGTCAACTAGATAGTGAGTTTTGATTACGAATTCAATCATCAATAACTTATATGACAGCTCGTTCCAAACGTCATATTAAATTCGTATGATTTTAAGGTCGAAGATGAACTTGTGCTGTTTTAATTACTAATATGACGACACTTTCGTTAAAAACCAGATTTTTGAATTTCTTTCTTTGTTCTAGGTAAAACGTTGCCTGTTCACTGTGTGGTAGAAGCCGTATCTTCTTTGGAGGAAGGCGCTTGGAGAAGAAGAGCGGTGGTGGAAACCGACAGCTATGTGATTATTCCCGCTGCGACCGCTTTTCACGAGTTGGTTCCTACGGCGATGATGAGATTGGGTTATCCTCACGAACTCGCCGCGTCGGCCAAAGGTTTGTAATTCTATGGATGACAACATTTCCAAGAAGGATTTGACACTATAATGGAATGTTTTGCGACGTTAGTTTATACATTTATAGGACTAGCGTAAAGAAGAGCCATCAGCTCAGAAATTTCAGGCTTTAATTTCATAGCACGCTCACCTTTTTGAATACCAGTGTAAAATAGTAGCTCAATGCAGCTGTGTTTCGTATAGTGAGTGTAGAGAACCGGAGACCCTTTTTACTGGAAACGAGGCACTCCATCTTAGTCCTCAGGGGTGACAACGCATCTGCATTTTGATTTTTGATCGAGGATAAATGTATATGTCTATAGGCCACAGCATCCACTTGCCATCAGGTGGACTGTGTGCTAGTTTGTCACCCTTATTCTATAAAAAAAAACTTAGATTATGCCAATGTCTGCTACGAAAACTTTACTTAGAAAAATCTATTATTTATAATTCTACTGCTGAACACAGACCTCCACCATATTTGCAGTAGTTGCCTCATGTAGCAGGCGAGCTAGCAACCTCAGGTTTTTATTATTTTGATTAGTTATCAGGAAGATGTTTTTCTCTTGTCTTATGTATATATAAAAAAAAAAAGTGGTGATTTTATTCGTTTTAAACTTTTAAAACTATAATGCATATAGCGGACAAAGAGATATTTTTATGTACTTGCATAGTCAGTTGTCCGACTTGTATTTTCACAAATGGCTTAATAATAATTTCATAATATTTGGTTTAAAAAAAATCAAATGTATTAAAGCTTTGTATTATTACATAAAAAACTAAATTCAATTTATTCTGTGCTTTAGGTTCAGTGGTAATAAACAACTGGAAGCCGCTCTCCTTTGAGAAGATATCCGATGGACCACTGGCTACAGTTGGCGAAGTGCTGGGCGAGTTGACCACTGTAGCCACATTGCGGATCCAACTGTTGCGGCCGAGACTAACGCCACTCCAAGACATCAAGGACAAGCTCCTAAGACTTCTGCTAGTGCAGAGCAGACCCTTGTTGATTTCAACTGGGTGTCCTTTAGATGAGGTACTTTGAACTATGTTAATTATAAATTTATGTACAGAATGAAAAACCTCCATAGTAGATTATTTTTAACGACTATATACTGATCACCATTGTTGTCTCATAATTGGCAATAGTTTGAGAACGCAAACTAAGTTACAATTTATCTATATTACGCTTTTGTTTTAATATAGGTATTGCTATTGTCCTCGTATATTTGACACTATCCTCCCTGCAAACTTGTTGCAAAAGCGATTACGGTAAATGAAAAGAACGTGTGCTAATACAGAAAACTGTAACTGTTTCTATTTATAACTACTTTATCTGCCGACTTCCAAAAAGGAGACGGTACTCAATTTGACTGTATGTCTTTTCTTTTGTGTGTTACCTCATAACTTTTTACTGGGTGAACCGATTTCGATGATTCTTTTTTTATTTGAAAGCTGGTACTTCTCCTGTGGTCTCATATGAATTTGATCAAGGTCAGACCAATAGTTTTTGAGTTATTCTTAATAACTTATATTGAAGTCGGCAGTACAAAATTTTTAATTTTTAATTATTACTGCGAGCTTATATCATACTTAAGCTTACTTAAGAGCATATCATTATTTTTACCTTTGTGAACGTATGTAAGTAACGTACATACGTTTCAACTATTATAAACCAGTTTTTGACTGCTATGCCAACTGCTGGTAAGTGGTGATGCAGCCGAAGAAGGTAAAACATCTCAATTTAAAACGAGCTGTTTTTAGGGTTCCGTACCCGAAAAGTAACCAACAGGACCCTATCACTAAGCCTCCGCTGTCCAGTCTTAGGTCCGTTCGTCCGTCTGTCTATCTCATGATCCTTAATAGGTAGACTGTTGACATTTTCACAGAATGTGTATTTCTGTTGCCGCTATAACAACTAATAATAAAAATATAAAATTAAAAATTAAAAATTAAAGGGGATCCCCGACTAGAAACGTGTTTTTGTAGGGAACCCTTTATGCTCGAGTCCAACTCGCACTTGGCCGTTTTTTTTCTTTAAGGGTGAGTGTTGCCAGTAGTTATAAATGTTACAACTTAATGAGCTTATAATTATAAAGTGTAGGTACTTAAATACCAAGTGAGAAGCCCCACGTTCAACATGGAAATATAGATTGTAGTAATGTCATTTAGTTTATTGTAAAGGAAGGTTCTTCAAATACTAAGGGAAGAATACCTGTAATACATATTTTGCGTCAAACGGTTCACGTATTAAAATCATATAAATTTGTCTTCGGCGACAAAACGCGTCCGCCACACTGAGCTAAACCAACGTTCACAATGTACTCGCGGCACTGTAATGTTCTTTAATGCCTGATTGTTGTAACCCCGACCCCGGCACAATGCGCCCCTCGTAGACTAAACCTACACCGCCCTTATTATCGTCAAACTTATTGTTTTCCATATTTTAAGCTCGCTCATTGAAACAGTGTGCTCATAATTTTTAACGTTCGTGGTTATTGAAATTTTGCACAATAATTTAAATTCTTTAGTTTGATTTTATTTACTCTGCCACAATGATCGGAATGCACATATGTAAACTGTCACGTCGAAATTTATTTTTAAGTAGCTGAAGAAACTAAATAAAATTGAAGTGTCTGTCTGTAATAACGAAATGTCTTTTATTGATCGGAAGGGGTTATTTCATGCCATTAATACATAAATAACCATTTTTTTAAATTTTTGTCTGTCTGTCTGGTGTATCTAAATAACATCACATTAATAGATCCTCCCAAGTAAAGCCGGGTTGGGTCGCTAGTCTATTATAAAATTATTATCTTCGAAGTGTCAGATATACAGAGACAGGACCAAAACCTGACCAGAAACCAACAATTTGCGTGCGTGTGAATCTCACACTACAGGCAGTCTCCGAATGGGGCGATGCCAATCTTGTGAAGTTCAACGCCTCCAAAACACAAGCATGTCTCTTCACTGCAAAAAGGAGTCAGCTCACCTTGACTCCTTCTTTCCGAAATGTATCACTGAAATATACCGAACGCCTTCAGTTGTTAGGGCTTGAAATATCCTCAAATTTGAACTTCGGGCGGTTCATTGAGTCCAAGGCCGAAGCAACTGCAAGGAAGCTGGGAGTCCTTGCAAATGTGCGGGCGATACTTCACGCCGGCTGCTTACTTTATATAAAGCGCAAGTCCGGTCGTGCATGGAGTATTGCTGCCATATATAGGCTGGTGCTGCAAAATGCCACCCAGCAGCTTTGGACTCAATGGAAAGGCGTGCTAAAAGGCTTACCGTGACCTGAATTTGGTTAAAACCAATCTTACCAGCCTCGAACACAGACGTAAAGTAGCCAGCCTTTCGGTTTTCTACAGGATGAATTTCGGAGAGTGTGCGCAGGAATTGCATAATTTAATTCCTCCCTCTCCCTTCCACCATCGGACAACCAGACGTTCGGCCAGTCTCCACCCTTTCGTTGTTGACTTACCACGCATTCGAACCAAACGGCTTACCACGTCACGTCGTTCATCATGCGTACAGCAAAGGACTGGAATAAGCTGCCAGCATCTGTCTTTCCATCCGATTACAGTGTGGGTGTCTTCAAGGCAAAAGTGAATAGGTTTTTTTAAGTCAGTGCGCTTCGCCATCTTAGGCTACATCACCACTTACCATCAGGTGGGATCGTAGATTAGCGCTGGCTTAGTAGAATATTAAATGGTAAAAATTTTGGTTCTAACCCGTGATGTCGTAGTAAACTACTCTGACTAGGTCACGCTATCGTAATGTACTTTATACTATAAGATATAATTTTTGTTCGATTTTAGGAAATTATTACATTTTGAACGTCGTAGAGCCATGCTGCAGCTATGTTGATGGTGTAGTTGTGGCACGAATGGGTCGGCTCGACCGGGGAAGGACCACGCTCTCACAGAATACCAGCGTAAAATAGCAGCTTAATGCTGCTGTGTTTCGTATGGTGAGTGTAGAGAACCGGAGACCCTTTTTACTGGAAACGAGGCATTCCATCTTGGCCCTCGCGGGTGACAACGCATTTGCTATCTATCCACGTTTGCGAATCAAAATATTCGCAAACGTGGATAGATGTAGATGTCTATGAGCTGCAGCAACCGCTTGCCATCGGGTGGACTGTGTGCTCGTTTGTCACACATATACTATTTAAAAAAATTGTTTAGTAACAAAAAACTAATATTCATATTTATGTACGATATTGTATATTTGACAGGATACAGAAGAAAACGTTAACTTTTTTACCGACTTCAAAAAGGAGACTATGTTTTTTTTCTTTTTTTAATGTGTGTTACCTCATTACTTTTTGTGGGTGCATCGATGATTCTTTTTTTATTTGAAAGCTTGTGCTTCTCATATGGTTCTATATAAATTTTATCAAGGTCGGACCAATAGTGATTCAGTTATTCTTAATAATTGATACCTATTGAAGTCGGTTGTACAACATTTTTAATTTTAAATTATTTAATAATAAAAAAAAACTCTTAACCAAAATTCAATTACCCAATGAAAGGCAAATGTGTTGTTACAAGTCCCAAATCAACGACTTTTACAATATAGGTATGTGCATATTTCCTTTAATGTATAATCTTTTGTTGCGAATAAATACATTCTAAGAACGTTCACCAAAACGTCAAATTAATGAGAACAAGCTCACAACAAGGTCGGATTTGAAGAACTCGCTATGGAGACAGATTATCAAACTCTCGCTTAAGTAGATAGGCTCGTGTATTTCGTAGGTCGTTATAATTTGCGAGGTTACGCTTAAGTCCCTGCTAATAAGGATCATCAGTCGAGGGAAGAATTAGAATAGCATTTGTTTTGATGTTCGCGGGTATTTCACATCTTTACAAAGGCGCGAGTGGTTCCTATAGAAACATATACTTTTTTTAAAACTATTTCTGTCTTATAACTTAAGGAAGTGTAATTATGTAACCAAATTTATAAAAATATGATGAATAATTTCACAACCTACGATATCGTTTTTTATTTTTGATAATAAGGTAATTTATTTTTGAGAATTCGGTTATAAAAAAAAACCTTTTTTGTTCTCAAAGGTTAGAGAATTACACCATATATAATTTCTCTTAGGATACGAGATAGCATAAATATAACGTCACAAGAGCATAAATTCTTCGAAGCGATGAGCACACCTGCCTCATACACGGAATCTCCATACATAATAAATTTAATTGAATCACAGACTCATCCGCGCCTCTCGTCTTATTATAATTTTCTAAATATCCACCTTGTTGCGAACGGGTTAGGGCGTGAGGGGCCCTCGTCTTGCCAACTTGAGCCGGAGCGAAAGAGGGTTAAAAGGAGTTTTAGATGTACGAACGCTTTTGATCTTATTAATACCATAAAATAATGCTTTATAATCTTATTAAACGCGAGGTTAGCGCTCGATGCCCTCCCTTCCCGTGGCTTAAGCGCCCAAATGTCGAGCCCGCGATTTCAATTTAGCGTTCTCCTGAATAACCGCTTGGCCCAGAAATTGACGCTTCAGTCAATCCATTTCAACATTTTTACACTAATTTAGCTATTTTATTATATTATATATTTCTTTTTCTATATTTCGGATTTATCTTAAAATTAAAACTAAATGAAAAGCGGCAACTAGCATTTACTACATATCGCTTATAAAATTTGTTTATCTCAAAGTATATAATTTAAAAATTGTTCTTATTACTCGTAGGTGAACATTAGATTTTTTATTCATATCTTCCAATTCTGTTATATATTATTTAAATACATACAGAATAATTACAATAATTTAAATGGCAGGGTATCAGTTGGGAATAAAGTTGAGAGAAGTTTAAGTAAATGAACCAAAGGAACTTGCAACCGAAGTAGATAATCAAACACCTCGAAGTGAAAAGTTGTAGCTAAACGTCAGATGAACTCGATTTTATGGTGTTATGGTAATTTATCACGCCAATTTGTGGCTACAAAATGATCTCTGAACATTGTAATAAACTTTATCCACTGCAAATTGTAAAAGGAATTTAGACGAATCGAAAATGTTTTACAATTATTATTTAAATGTAAAACAATACAATTAATTCCTCAAACTCGTAAAGTAGCGTATGTACACACTATGAAAATAATATCTGATAGCGTTAAGCCTATTGTATTCTAAGTTGTCCTTTCCAACTGTACTCAAGAGAATGTTCGCAATCACACACCGAATTACGTACTTAGGCGGATTACACGTGACGGAGTTATCGCGTGGAGGCGCCAGGTCTTGTAAATCTTGAACGTAGCTGAAGCAGACAATATCTGAGAACAAATATGACCGCACTATTTAAAAACATAAAACAAAGAACTGGATTAACGTATCACTCCGGCTACGAGCTAACGCAGCTCAACTGACATGATTTATAGGCGCAATCTGGATGTGTAACGCTTACATTTATTTACTTGAGTTTGATTTGGCAACACGCAATGCAAACTGGAGGGAGTGACAGCTCACTTGACGACGTAATCGCTGGCATTGTAGTGTTTAATCTAGCGATACGAACAGATCTCACTTGCATAACAGCCGAACTAAACAAACTCAACAACAGAGCGTAATCTGACAAGTTCTTTTATGATTGACTACTCCCTGATTAATATTAAATCAAACATGCAACTTGTGAGCTTACAGCAAAACAAAAAATACAACACGTTGTATAGATTCATATACAGTTTTGAATAACTACTTTGAATATAGTTATCAGTTCTCACGAAAACTGAAGTTGTCGCTTATAGTTTTCGGTGTGCGCGCGCATCGTAACAAATTCATGGTGTCGTTTTAGGTGTCGGTGTGCGCGCGCATCGTAAAAACATCACTCTCATCATTTTCCTCCAACCCGCCAAAAGAAGTATAACTTCAAAAACGTTTTAATAGTGTTTATTACAAACAATACAGTGTCGGTAGGGATGTACGAGTACCTATTTCCTAATCGAGTTACCGAGGCGATACATTTAAGTTGAACCACTTAGGCTTCGTTGGGACGCCGGCACTTTGTCGAAGGCGAAGTGGGTGGATGCTAATTGTTAAGACGCTCTTCCCGCTCATTGTTTTAGAGCAGGCCATGATTGAAGTTTCGGCGGCGTGAGGCAGGAGTGGTGCGCACTAACCACCGTGTAAACAGCTCGAACCGTCAGTACCCCGATCGCTCGCGCATGACACATACATTAACAGCCGGCCTAATATTTTCATAATCTAATGGCGATGTTCTGTGAAACAATGCTTGGTGTTTATTCAAATAATTATCTCGGTATCTGTTGCTGGTTAGACCGACCTCTTTAAAACCGTCTAAAAATGTTTTCGGTACCTTTTGTTTATATTTACTGTTCAATCTTATGCTGGCCGATAGTTTGAAATGTTGTTTTCTGTTGCAGGTCACACTAGCTCAAATTTGTAGAGGTCAAGATAGAACACCGGGCCCTCACAACTTTCACGAACCCTCTGAGGATATGCGCCGGAAATTTGAATCGTGGTGGAGTGCTCAAGTATCCCCACGACCACCACCTTTTAGTCCTCGACGCTATCCTTCTCCAGGACCAAAAAATCGTTCACCTACTCTGAACACTATTCCAGATCATTTGCATCCAGCATTGCAAACTGTTCAGAATCAATATCCAACTCAAAAGACTAGAATGAGGACAAGTTTCGATCCAGAACTTGAACTACCAAAGTTGCAGCGGTGGTTCTCTGAAAATCAACATCCAAGCCGACAGCAGATACAGCAATATGTTAGAGAATTGAACAATTTAGAATCAAGGCGTGGCCGTAAGCCTTTAGATGTGAACAACGTTGTATACTGGTTCAAAAATGCAAGGGCGGCACAAAAGCGCGCAGAACTCCGTAATATCGGCGGTCTAGGTTGTCATCTTGGCGTAAATGGTTATAACAGTAGAAGTCATAGTCCTTCGAATGGTTCTCTTATGGCAAGTAATGATAATTACGCCACACAAGATCATAACTCAATGAAAAGTCCTATGCAGTTGTCTGGCAGTCCTGGAAGATATCCGATGTCTGTTATGTCTGAAGACAATTTGTCAAATGCTGGATCTGATTTAGAAGATGATGGAGGTGATTTAAATCCGGATGATAGGCCTGATAGTCCCGATGCTCCCCTTTCTCTTATAACCACTAAGAAAAACAATAATGACGAAGAGATTCCCAAAGAATCACCAAAACCACCTGATATTATAAAGGTAAATTAAATTTTTGTAATTAACTTTAATTTTTTTTAATAAAATTATCAAATAGATGAAGATAACGTATATAACTTTTCTTTCTCAGGTACATGATATTAAACAAGAGCCACGTGATCTTGCTAGAACTGATCAACATAATTCTCCTCAGCGCTCACCTGCTAAGAACAGCGACAGCTCTAACAATAACAATAACAATAACCTTGAAGAAGAGAATGGAGTTAATGATGATCACGACGTTGTATCCGATGAGGATGTCGTTCAGGAACGTCACTATCGTCCTTCATCTCCCCATCTAGATCGCTTACCATTTCCCATGGTACCAAATCATCCAATGTTCGGCCACGGTATTATGTACATGAGCCAATATATGAGTGGTTTTCCAGGGGTTGGACCAGTTCCAGGTGAAGGTGCGAGTGGCTTAAATCTAGCCCTCGCAGGTGCTTCTGATGAAAGACGTAAGCGTAATCGCACTTTTATTGACCCCGTCTCCGAAGTTCCAGTTTTGGAGCAATGGTTTTCAATGAATACTCATCCTTCGCACAATCTTATATTAAAATATACGGAGCAATTGAACACGATGCCTTACCGACAAAAGTTTCCCCGTTTAGAATCAAAAAACGTACAGTTTTGGTTCAAAAACAGACGAGCGAAGTGTAAAAGGCTAAAGATGTCACTGTACGAGCCGTCATCGCCCGGCCATTATTCGCATCCTGGACATCCACACGCTATTGCAGAACGAAAAATGGTTTAAACAGTACATATTTTGACGGCCAATAATGCCTGAAAGTACATAACAAGTGATCTTGAAGTTGTATTAACGCTTGTGATTAGAATCAAATTTTCGTTTCTAATTTCGGTGTGTATATTACGAAAGACTGATTTCGAATCGTTTATGGTGTGTAGTGCCATGTTAGTATTATAGCACGTCAGTTTGTACAGTTCGTATTATTAAAATGCTTATTGACGTATTTCTTCAAATGTAGACGGTAATTTTTCTCTCAAAGGGAATTTACGAAACAAACAAAGAACTTATGTTTAAAATAACTATTTTAAAATTAAATTTTAATGTTAATAGTTTTATGATCAGTCTCAAGGAACAATGCGTCGTACATTATCTATAAATGAATCTCAAGTGTACTAAGTAGTTCTTTCGATTTGTATATAAATAATTTATTAAATAACGCATTAGTTGTAAATTAAAATTGTTAGTAAATACTCGTATGAATGTATTGTCTCACCAAAAGTTCCATTTGAATTATTCGTAGCGTTACTTAGACTCTATATCTATGAGCAGAGAGTAACTTTTAGAACGGTATTAAATGTTATAATATTATGTAATTAATGAGTCATTTATCATAGATATACGTACGTTACAATTGTATTGCACATAGAGTAGAGAATTAAAATTTTTAAAGACTAAACTTTATTGAAGTTAGTCTATGGAGGGGACTGTGAAGCTTGGATAATAAGGTCGGTGTTAATGAATAGACTCTTTGGCCTGACGATAATGTTAAGATTTGTTAAGGCCGTATATTACGCACATTCCTTATTTCGTTATAGGTAAATAATACTTCCTCAATCCAAAGATTGGTTAGTGTTATAGAATTATCAACTAAGAGATTATTATACTCATCACATTACATGGTTCCCATATCAGAAATATCGTCTCCCGTCACAATAAGCGCGATGCTATCATTCCCACCAATCAGTCCAAGTAAATTTTAAATGTTTGTGTTAGGAGTGGTTCACAATACTAGTCGAATGTTGGATTCGAACCTACAGCTTTTAATTTTTTTTAAATCTTGACCTTTATTCCCTATTGATTATATACCACTTTTGTAATTTGTTGAAAACTGTTATTGATAGATTAATTTAATAAAAAAATAGGACGAGCAGTAGTATTGAAGTGGTTTCAACATAATGCCATTATACATAACGAGCAATAGTATGTATTAAAGTAGTTTAAATACTTTATACGTACAATTTTTGAAGAAAAAATGAAATGCATCGAAAATGTTTTACTTACAAAATAAAGCCAGTATTTAAAAATGGAAGCTAAGACAGTACGATAGATAGGAACTTAGGCCTCCTCTAATTTATGACAGTTATGGACTAATTCGTCCGCCGCTCTGCTCCAGTACGTTGTGGCGGACTTCACGTGTCCTTGAAATACTTCATTACTTGTTTGTTTACTTACAATGTCTTCCTTCGCCGCCGAGAACGTGATAAGTCAGTACATATGTAATATGTAAAAATAAACTAAAGTTTTTCAAATATTTTTGATCAAAATTAAGTATTTCTGATGTCAATACAACAAACAAATTATATTTTGTAAATATGCATTTAAATCCTCATTGATTCCATGATCGAAAGACTCATTACCGCTACCACCCACCCACTTTGACGTAAACATATTTATTACACACACCAAGTACAGTTTCTCTAGGTTATCGCGTCGGGAGACGACTCGTTAGAATGATACACTAACTAGAAAGATATACTAACAGTATTTACGCATTTACTCATCGAGGCTGTAATACAAAAACTTCGACTATTGTTTAGTAGTTTTTAACATTCATCACTAGATATATTTCCACTTGATTGTTTTGTTGTTTCCATGTTATGCTTGTTTTGTGAAGCTGTGATGATATTCCCAAATAATGTAAATATTTTATTAATGTTAAATTAAGGTTTATATTGTAACTTGTCAATAGGCTCACACGAACAATTAAGCATTTATTGCTTAGATAATGGAAGATAATTGGCTACGTGTTTATTCCATTCAATTATAAACGAAAGATTAAATGAATATAATATCTAAAAATTGAAGTAGCTCTCTTTTATTTTTAAACCCCTTAATTAGTGTTTATGTTAACTAAAGACTTATATCTATACATATGTACATGTATAGACTTCTATATATACATATGTATCCATAGAAGTCTTTGCATGGAACAGCAGAAGTTAAGAAGTGAACGATTAATAACTGTTCGATAACTACTAAATTCATATTGAAATAAAAATAATATTGGACATTAAAAAAAATTTATTAGTTACTTTATTTTGACCCCTGTATGTTCAAAAAGTTTTTTATAGCATAAAGATGGCAAACGATTACACAGTCCACCTGATGGTAAGTAGATGCTGTGACTCATAGACATCTACATCTATTCTCGATTAAGAATTGACAAGCCTTTAGACCTAATGTGGAATGCTTCGTTTCCAGTAAAAAGGGTCTCCGGTTCTCTACACCCACCACACGAAACGCAGTAGTATTATGTTGCTATCTCACGCTGGTATTCCGTGAGAGTGTGCACTCTTGCCTTGAAGACACCCACATTTTACTCGGATGAAAACACAGATGCTGGCAACTTATTCCACTCCTTTGCTGTACGCATGATGAACGATGTAGCAAACCGTTTGGTTCGAATGCGTGGTAAGTCAACAACAAAGTAGTGGAGACTGGCTGAAGTCCTGGTTGTCCGATGGTGGAAGGGAGAGAGAGGAATTAAATTATGCAATTCCTGCGCACATTCTGCAAAATGCATCCTGTAGAAAACCGAAAGGCTGACTACTTTGCGCCTATGTTCGAGACTGATAAGATTGGTTTTAAGCAAATTCGGGCCACCAATAAGCCTCTTAGCGCGTCTTTCCATTGAGTCCAAAGCTGGCAGGTGGCATTTTGCAGCACCAGCCCATTTATGGCAGCAATACTCCATGTACGACTGGACTTGCGCTTTATACAAAATAAGCAGCTGTCCCGGCGTGAAGTGTCGCCGCACCTTTGCAAGGACTCCTAGCTAGGAGTTGAGTCCAAAGCCAAAGCAGCTGCAAGGAAGCTTCCTTGCAGCTGCTTTGGCCTTGGACTCAATGAACCGCCCGAAGTTCATATTTGAGGATATCTCAACCCCCAACAATTGAAGGCGGTCGGTGTACTCCAGTGATACATTTCGGAAAGAAGGAGCCAAGGTCCTTTTTGCAGGTAAGAGACACGCTTGTGTTTTGGAGGCGTTGAATTTCACAAGATTGGCATCGCCCCATTCGGAGACTGCCTGTAGTGTGAGATTCATACGTCTGCATACCCATAGATACCGGGCATAAGCAGATCATTAATATCCAGCAGGAAGAGAGTTGCGGAGAGGATGGACCCCTCAGGAACACCGGCGTTAGTTGCAACAGGAACGGATGAGCAGCCATCGACGACCATTCTCTCAGAAAGTCATTTACCAATTCAATCAGACCAGGGGATATGTCGTAAGCTTGAAGCTTACCCAGAAGGCTGGTGTACCAAACTTTGTCAAAGGCCTTCGAGACATCAAGGGAAACAGCAAGTGCTTCCCCACTGTTCTCGAGTGCCCCGCCCCATACGTGTGTGGCATACGCTAGAAGGTCCTCAGCTGAGCGATTTCGGCGAAACCCATATTGCCGGTCACTAAGGAGGTCATTCCGTTCTAGGTATGCCATTAAGCGGGCGTTCAATATAGGTACGGTCCATAATCTTGCAGAATATGGAGGTAATCGAGATTGACCGATAATTCCAATGAAGTTTTGCTCACTGTGTGCAGTTTGGTTCAACTTGAGAGATAGGATATTTTTTACCCCGATAAGTGACCCTCAATATTTTTTGTGAATTTAAGGATTTTTTATAGGAAGGGTCGTCGGAAAGTGCAGAACAACGTCTGCCTGGCCAGCTAGTGTATGATAAATAAATCCTCATGTAGCCTGAATAGTAGAAGAGTTGCAACAAAGCAAGTGAAATATATCTGTAATATAGAACGGTACGCTTTCATGATTTAAAGAACGGAATTGTCCGATCAAATGCATTCAAACTATTCTACTTAAGTGCCTTGTGTCGTTATGTGGTAGTGGCGGAAAAAGTAACAATGGGAAATATCACGAAGTATCATAAGGCTTTTGAGAGATAGTGTAATCATCCCTTAATGACAGATTCAAAACACGTAAGCTTGTGAAAGACCTGGTGACTGCCATCGCCAATTTGCCTGCTGAGCGTGGAGATTATGTTAAAACCTCTCTATAATGAGTATGGCATATGACCGCAGCGAATTTTAAGTGTTAAAGATGAAAAAAAGAAGATTTTATTTAAGTAGGTAAAATAACATTAAATTTATACATTGTGTAAAGGTAATATAATAATATTATAAAAAATAATAATATTATAGCTAAAAAATTAAGTTTTATAAGAAATTTTTTAAAACATCCCAGGAGGTACCTACTTCGTTACCGTTGCATTGTGCTGAACATACGACTCTCCTATAGATTGCCTCTTACGAGAGATATTTGCCATAGTTGCCACACACACACGCAGTTTTGTTTTATTTTTAGTCGTTATTAGGAAGACTAGTGCACATCTCCTGATTCGTATCCCTCTGTCGCCTCTTACGACACCCACGGGATGATATGAGGCATTGGATATTCTTACACAGGAGGTACTAAGGACACATAATTAAAACACCAACAATGTCATTAATAAATCTTTGAAATATTACTACAATAATATGCATAAAGTAACAAATTAAATTAGTATTGAATAAGTTGGAGTAGCAACTTTACACTGAAGAGTTAGCGCTATTTTTGATAATATTAACTGCATCTTAAAATTTTCAAGAAAAATTGTAATAATACCCACGACATTATGAATAGGCCATCAAACAATACAACATTTCAATAGATTTATCAGTACAGTTCGATTGGACCTTAAACGTAGACACCAGAGGAAACGACCGGCGTAGA